TATCTGCACATAAGTTTTTGAAAAAAAAATTCAGGTCTCAGGACTGGTAGTTGCACAAAAAACTTGTATGGCTTTTAATTACTGCTGAGAGACTAAAGATTGTAAAAATCTAATGATACTGGTCGTTTCATCAGCTCTCAGTTTTCAAGAGTGCAGCAGCTGATCATTTTCTTAAGAACTGAATACATCAAAGGGAAGACAAAAAAAGGACTATCAGGAGAATCATTTTCTTAAATGTTGCTCAGTTTATTGATAGTTAATTTGCATTATTAGGAAGCACATACTAGGGAAGATGAAAATCTTTCCTTATCTCTAGTTAGTGGTGTCAGTTGGAATTCTCCCACTTGAGGTGATGAGTCCAAGGTCATCCATTAGAAGAATTACCTCTGACAGAGCCTGTTGTTTTCTTCTTCCAACCTTTTAAAATGATATGCATAATAATAATCAGGATGACCTAATTGTAGCCCTGCCAGTGTATTTTGCATGTAGATTTCCCAGCTGAGTGCTTTCAGATGCACTGAACTTTTAGTTCCCTTGAATCCCAGCTGCTGTGGTCCTACACATTTGGAGAACACCAGATTGGGGAAGCTAGAGGATTAAACAAGGTGTGTCTGTTGTCCTTCAAAACGGTCCGCTTTTTGAAGGAAAGCCCTTATATGGTGGCAAATCACATCACAGCCTTGTGTGAATGTTTCAATGAAAAATTGGTGAAGATATAATGGTCTAGACCTTTACTGTATGTTGATAGATGTCATTGAGAAATTATTAGGAACTGTTAACATATTGCTTGTTCCCTGGTGAATTTCCCTCGATTACTTGTATACAGCAAATGGTATAGTTCATCTTTTTAAGCTAAGCTATGTTTTAAAAGTCTTTTTTATAATGAATTCCATTATTTAAATCTGCTATTAGTTTGGGATTTGTTTTGCGTTTGCGTTATAGATGCAGCCAAGACCTAAGTCAGTCTCTGCTGTTGTGTTTTTCAAATTCTTTGGATTACACTCCCATTTTTCCTAGCCAGCATGGCTAATTGCAATACTGGTTGCAGAGGGATGGAAGTTGTAGCCTGACTCATCAGGAAATTGCCAGATTATGGGAAGGCTAAATGATGAAATGATTCAGTGAAACGGCATGGAGCTAAAACAATTCATTTTGGCCACTGCTAAGATTTTTCCACTTGTTGGCTGCAATATTTCTTTGCTTCTTATGTCTCTTCTGAAACATTGTTCTGGTAACAATGATAGAGGTGAAATGCTGATTTTCCTCCCAAAGGGATCTTTCCATTACCAAAAAAAAAAAAAAGCATTAGATGGCAGCCAAGGGAAGTGTTGTCACAGAGCTGTTACATAGCTTTGAGACACACAGACGCACACACACCCCTACCTATCGTTGTCTAGAACAGTGTTTCTCAACCTTGGCAACTTTGAGATGAGTGGACTTCAACTCCCAGAATTCCCCAGCCAGCCATGCTAGCTGGGGAATTCTGGGACTTCATCTTAAAGTTGCTAAGGTTGAGAAACACTGCTCTAGAGGAAGCCAGTAAGGCATTGATGACACAGTACTGGGCATATTATTGAGGGAAGAAGGAGGCAGTTTCCTTTTTACCCAGTGGCTGCCCTGGGTAGAGCTTGTGCATAGACTGTCTCTCAGCTTCAAGAAAAATGTTTGCTATGTGTGGTTTATATCAAACATTTGAAAGAAGGGAAGAAATTTTGCTGCTATTGTTCAGTGAAACTTGGGCCACCAAAAAGGGTCTGGGGTCTAAATGCAGGGTCTGGGCTGCTCACTCATGATGCTGTAGTTATTAGATATATTGCAAAGTAATTAATTTTAAATATCAGAACACAAGGTATCATTATTTTCAAAGAGATTTTCGAACAGTGGTTTGTTTTATGCATGCAGGATGGAAGGGAAAATTGTTGGTCCTCCTTGCTGGGGGGAAGAAAACTTCCTTAAACATAGTCCAGCTGCAAGTAGGTGTCTTAAAATAGGGTGCCAAAAAGAGGAAGTAAAAGGTTTGCCAACTGACTTTGCTGGACTCCAGAGCTGAGAAAAAAACATTACCCTTCAACCCAAGTGTCTGCTTCAGGACTATGTTTACTCCACCAGCGTTGGTGCAAGGTTGTTCCCTAAGTGGAAGGGGAGCATCGGCACTAGGAATTAAAAGTATGCTTTCCCCCCAGTGACTTGGCATTCTTCAGCTGTAAAAACTACCCATTGCAAGTGCCTCGAAGCATTTGGGCTACCTCTCACGTGGACATCGCTTGCAGGTTTGCTCTGGAATTGCTATGGGTTTCATGCTGGGCTGAAAATAATGCAAAAGGAGGAATTGGTCCTGTCCCTCTTCAGCTGATGGGATCTCAAAATGTGGAGAAAAGACAGGGGGAGGGGATGACCCTCTGTGCCCCTGCCCTCTCTGTTCACACCCTTCCTGCATTGCTTTTGGATGTGAAAAAGTAACCAATGGAAGGAGGACAGCTGCACCTTCATTTTAGATCTTCCCACCAAGATTTTCACTTAGAGATCCTTGCATGATTGAGGTGGCTTATGAAATGAAAAATGTGATGAAATACGATGGAAGGGGCAGGATAGAATTTATGTTTACACTCTTCCCATGCTTTTCAGTTTGAATGCCTGAGTATTAGTTTATATAGAAAATATAAATTTAAATTTCCTATAGCTATGACAACTGCGCCTATCAAATAAGGCTAAACAACAGATCCTTCGTCTTCTTGGATTCTCTTTCTCTTTTTTAGTAATGTTTTTAAATGTTTTTAAATTTTTATGTTTTATGTATTTATATGTTTTAATGTTTTGTATAAACTGCCCAGAGTCCCCCATTGGGGGGAAATGGGTGGGGAGAAATTTAATAAATGAATAAATAAAAATGTTTAAAAATCATATTCAAACATTCCTAGAGAATTATGGAGTGACTCTGCCTAAATATTTGCATTGATTATCTCTGGTTAGAAGATGTGTCATAGAGTTGGGAAGTGCCTCTCCCTAGATCTTATGAGTGATGATGCTATAGTTTAATTCTCTATGGGCAGCTTAATATGTTCCCAAATGTTTTTGATATGAATACTGCTAACAATGCAACCACCTAATAGGATATTGATGTTTCTAACTGTATAATGAGTATCCTTCATTCTGAAGATGTAAGTAGCAGCTTGCTGTTGTGATAGAAGTTTTTATGGAAATGCTAGTGTACTTACTCAGGGAGAAATTACTTATAGAGGGAAAACGTTTTGGATACAGTATAACTAAGTTGGTAATTGTTCTTGTAGAAATAGCCATTCTGGTTCAAGGTTTTCATGTATTGGCTGAATTCAGAGTACTTAATCTACTTCTGGTTTGCATATTAGATCGTGTCGGTTCTTTTAACACATTTGCAGATCATAAGCATTTTGCAATATATCTTTGTTTCTTCTTATGAACCTACTTACTGTAGTTGGGAAGCCTGGAACTCATATTTATGGCTTTCTCCTATATGATTTTCCATTTTTAAAAGACCACATGGAAAGGAGAACAAGATGATGATCAGCAAGGTGGATGGATTCCATCAGTGTTACAATGTGTGTTGAAAGACTTGAAGGACCAGGTTGAGGACAGATCATCCTGGAGAAAACTTGTCTGTATGGTTGCTAAGATTAACACTGGCTTGATGGCATATAATCATCATCAGTTTAAAGAGTCCTGGTCCAATTATTTTCACAGTTTTAATTGGATTCATCACCTGTTGATAAATCTACAATGTTCCTGTCATCTTACATTTAGCACTCTCATGTTAGGAAGTAGTTAGTTTAAAAAAAAAAAAGTGAAGAAGGAATATTTCCTCTTCATACTGCTTCAGAGATAATATTCCTTCTATATATCAGTTCTAGCTGAGTAGTGCTGTGTCCAGTATTCCTCCAACTAAATTAAGAAGTGACCTCGTTACTGTTTATCAGATAGGCATGTTAAAGACTTGATACTGTCTGATTTGAACTTGCTAAAATATATAAACCAGAACTCTCTTGAGATATTAATTCTGTCATATTGATGCTGGCACAAAGATTGCTATCTGTGATTTGCAAAATTTGAGGAGATGAAGTGTACTAGAGTGGGTACAAAAAGGCTGGACTTTAATGTCTGCCAGCCACGTTCTTGTGAGTTGTAAAACTTACTCTGATTCCTGGCTCATGTCATTGGGGGAGGGAGGATATAGGAATGCAATGTACTGTTTCTTAAATGCTATTCAGTATAAAAAGTTAAGATGCAAAAACCATAAGCCCTTGCTAAGATGTTTAGTAGCGTGAAAGACCATGAAGAATTTGCAGTATCAGCTTGAATTGTGCTGATGTGAGTTGCGTGATGAGTAGGATGACCGCCTTCCCCCTATTTCCTGCCAGCCAGGGCTAGGAACAACTGAGGATAGGAAGAAGCTTTCTACTTGCTCTGCTTCATTCTTTGCATTAGGCTGGATGGAGCTGCCAGTGGGTTTTATCTTGTATTAATTAGGGACTAGTTTCCACAGCCAGACTGCAAGATGATAAAGGTCTGGCTAGGACTGCAGAAGTTTCCACCAGCTTGTCATTTTTATGGGACAGAAGAAAATGATTAAATACCACTGGAAGAAATCATTATACATGTATTGAAGTTTGGTGGTTGTTTTTTCTGGACCTGACTACTTTAAGGGCTGCAGTCCCTGGCTTGTCACTCAGAGGCTGAGGGCAACTCTTGACCTGAAAAACATTACACATTCTTGAGCCAAGCCTTTGAATAAAGCCTGGGTGTTTTGGATGTACTGTTTCAAACTGTGGCAGAGATTTGCAGGTTTGGTGGTTGCTTTTCCCCATCTCCTAGTTTGCTACGTGCATAGAATTCTTCCAGCAAGTCCCTGCCTGTAATCCTTTTTTGTCACCTCAGCCAGGCCTTTGTGGCTCAGTCTGTTTGGGTCACAGGAGGAGTCTGTGGGTTTTCAGCTGCGTTGGGTCACACTCTCCCCTCTTCCCCTTCAGGATCAATTTGACACGATTGAGCGCCACACCCAGTGGGGCCTGGACCTGATGGACAGATACGTCAAATTTGTGAAAGAGCGGACAGAAATTGAGCAGGCATACGCAAAGCAGCTGAGGTAGGTATGCAGGGGGTGGGAGTGCCAGTGGGCCAGACAGATGCTTGGATTCAGGTTTTAGGGGTGGGAAAGAACCCGAGAAGTGGTGTAGCTCAGCTCTGGGGAAAAGCCATTGCTGAGGCTGCTCAGCCCAAGAATCGAAACCCTAGACTCTTCCCTGAAGTATCTAGACATGTCACTGTGGTTTATTAATTCAGTGGATGGAAAAAGGACGGGGAGGGGGGTTGTTATATAGAAAAGAATAAAATACTCTACACTATGGACAATTATGGAATTTGCTACCCCAATAAGTAGCTTAAGAGCAATCATAGCTGCTTGTATCTGCCTTCTGTCATCTGAGGCTTGGTAGAAACTCTGTGCTTCGAAGCAGTATATCTCTGGTTATTAGATCCTGGGCACAAACAGGAAAGAGTTGTTTCCATCCAACGTCACTTATGAGCATCCTGGTATTTAGCTTGTCATTGTTGGGTGCAAGCAGGCATGATGGGAGTTGTAGTCCAACCCATGTAGAGGGGACCAGGATGGGAAGTTTAATCTATCCTCTGTACAGCTCTGCAGAAAGTTCTCCCTCTCCACTAATTTAGGCTCCTGACCCTGGTACTTTGCTTTACTGTTCTAACTGTTCCAAAACAGCCTTCTCTGTGGTTCAAGGCAGAAACACTGCTCTTTCTTTTCCCCCAGTTCCTAAAACTGGCTCCTTCTCAGGCCGGGGTTCCAAGTGTCCCTGAACCTGATCCAAATGCTGATAAAGTCCCTGGAAGGCCCAGAAAGGTTTGAAACATCTGGCTGACTAGTGGATTCCTTAGCCATGACTTCCATCCCTCTGCTTACCCCCACTGCATTTGATTTCAAGGCAACTCAATCCTAAGTCTCTGAGAAACTTGGCTTGGGCGGCAGCAGTACAAAAGTAGCCTCATTCCCTCACTCCCAATAATGCCTGGAATTATCTTGGATTGCATCTGGTTGATGGGGGCCAAAATCTTACATCTAGTTTTGCCCATCGAAAACTGAAGATAGTAGGTGGGATGGTTTGGTTTCACTCCATAACTGGTTAACCTATATATCTTTTTGTCTCTCACCCACCAAATCTCCCCTATTCAGCAGAAAACAAGAGGGGTGTTTTGTTTTTTTTGGCCTGGATCCCACTCCTTAAAATCTTTTCTCCTTTCCTGAGTCATAGAACAGCAAAGAGTAGAAAGGCACAAAGTCCATTTTTTTCATCTCAGTGCTCCTGGACCACCTTTATCCCATCAAGCTGATAAAAGAACTATGCCCCAGGTCTCTGGAAAGCAAGCAGTATTAATCTGCCCTGTGTTTTCTGCAACTATAAAAACATTGTGGCTCATGTTGCTTAGATCTTTTTCTTTGGTTGCAGCATATTCTTGGTGCTCAGTTGGTATCTGAAAGGATTCATTAGAATTTAGTTTTCAAATTGATGGTCTGGTACCATCCTCTCTGGATTCCTGCAAGAATAGAGGTAGTAATGCTCTCCTAGTTTTGCTGTCTACACTTCCCCACAGTGAACTCTGTTATTTGTAAAATGCTATTTTTCCATAATGATACTCTGCACTTTCCTCCAGTGATGAGAACAAACATTCTGCATCTGTTTATACAGTGGAAGCAACTGTTTTGGAACGTGGCTAAAACCTGAGATGTAAATGGGGAAGTCACTGTCTGTGAACCTTGCCTATACAAATAGACAAACCTTGCTGTAACAGATCAAAGCCTGTCTAGTCCAGCGTCCTCTTCTGCTTTTGTACCATATTGGCCAAGTAAGAGGCCTCTTTATGGGCTTCCCTGAGCCAAGACGATATTTCTTGTTCCTACACTCTGCAGTTGATATTTAGAGTCATCTACTGTCTCTGAAACCTGGGGATGGTACCTAATCATCAAAGTCAATGTCTGTATTTTCTGTGAATGATTTAATTCCCTTCCACAGTGATGTAGATCAGGGCCACTGCATTTTGTGAGAACAAATTCTATACGTTAAGAAATGTACCTGAAGAAAGATTTCCTTCTGGCTGCCGTCAATCTCCTTCCACTTGTGAATTTCCAATAATACGTTCCTGCACTGTTAGAAGGATTAAAAGATAGCATGCACGAAGAAGCACTGGAAACAGGAAAAGTATCATATCCATGATGCCTTACAGGGTATTATTATAAAGATAGTTTGAGTGGCTGCCTTTTCTTTTGAGAACTTCAACTATAAATTATCTTTGCTGAGCTCTACAAAGCAAACCTATGCAATAACCTCTACTCTTCATCAGCCACATGGATAACTCTTCTTTGAGGTTTTGATGCATTTGTTGGTTGACTCCTTCATTGATCTCTGAAGGTCCAAGCCATGTATAGTGGGGCTGAAAAAGTTGTTGCTGATATTTTCTGCTGAAACAAAAGGAATAGGTATCTGGAAATCTCTGCAGCCAAGTAGGCTGGCTATCTCATATGTGATGTGAGAAAGGAGAAATGTAGAGAAAGTAGGAAAGGTCCTATTAAATAAGAATAACTTTATCCAGGCTAGCATATTAACATTTCCATCTAATAAAACCCAACAGTCTGAAGCTGCTTAAAAGCCTAATAATGAAGCCTAATAATGTCTGAATATATACCTTTTTAAAGTGTAGGTCTTCGAGTAGGTAGGTATGAACTCACTCTTTATTCCATTTCAGGCCAATATTGTATGTTATGCATGTTCTCTCATTTGCAGAAATCTTGTGAAAAAGCACCTTCCCAAGAGGACTGCCCGAGAAGATCCAGACACAAAGTAAGCAGGGCTTCATAGGCATTTAGCTGCAGTGAAGCCTGAGAGATTCCCTCTCAGTGCTGTCCATATTTGAGGCAGACAAATCTTGCCTACAGAAATTTAGGTCAACTGTTTTTAAAATTTGGCTTAGCAAAACCTGGGCGAGATGACTTTGCAAGTTGTTTAGAACAGCAGTCTTCAAAGGAATGCTTATGAAGCAGCAGCACACGTGATCCAAACTTGCATCCACTTTGCAGAACTAGTATGAGCATCAGCAGGGAGACAGATGATGAAGCATACATTGCGACATAAACCATGTGACTTACACACTTGATTCTGAGGTTTATGGATATGAAGGAGGACCTGTGGGACTAACCATTCCAGTCATTCAGTGAGATTTAGCATTGGTTCAGTGTCACTGGAGCTTTCCAGACTGTGGCTCAGCCACGTAGTCCACGTACCCAGGAAATGGGTTTCTGGCTCCAGGAAGTGATTTATCTCTCTCTGTGTGCATGTTTTAATTATTGATCTTGCTATGCAAAATTGTCACTGGTGGCTGGTTTTTTAGGAATAGATCCCATCCACTTTCATTATACTTAGTTTGTATGCCCATGTTCTGATAGCTAATATAAGTAAAAAAAGTGAAGAAAAAGAAATACCTAGAACATAGTTCTTACATAATTCTAAAAGTGCATCCAAGAAGGATACAATACATGGTTATGCATAAAAATTAAAATCCTGTGTCAAATCTTCATTATCCTAATAAATTGGGTACAGACTGTAACAGGCTCTTCCAAGACAAAACAGATGTGGACCCCATGTCTGAAAAAATGTATCCACGGATGTGGGGGTTTTTTTGTATAAAACCCATAATCATAAATAGAATGGCCACGATCAATACTTTAAAAGACCAGACTGCAAAAGAGAGGGAAGCTATTTTATATGCAATTATTATCTTTGTGGGAGGTCAATACATTTATGAGTGTAAGAATGGCAAAACAACATTGTGTTCTGTTTCTAACAGAGAATGAGGAAATAAAATTAGTCCGAAAATAGTCCTGCTACCCGGCAGCTAGTATTCTGTGGCACCCTTTTTCTGAAGAGATGTAACCATCACGGCTAAGAGCAGTTTGTGGTGGGTCTTCAGTAAATGGCTTTAATTCCCTCTCGAGTCATCTAAGCTGGTGGCCAGCTAAAAGACCACATCTTTTTTGCAGGGTATTCCACGCATACATGTATCTATTTTTGTTAGCAGTCCCTTTCAGACAGACCAGTCCATTTCATTGAGAAGGAATCATTTACTGGTGAAGGGGGAAAACAAATCCTACCCGCTTCTTTCTCTTCATTTCCAAGCTTTAGAAATCTTACATGTTCTCCCTCCCAAGTTGTCTCTTTACTAAACTAACCCCAAATTCTAGGGATATTAGAGTTGTCCTGGCTGCAGTACTAGTGCTTGTTCTTATCACCAATGCCTATATTGAGCTGACATTTCCACTGAACTGTGGTCCTGGAAGCTCGCTCTTGTTTTCAGGAGGAGGAGGAGGGTGTCTTTTGTTACGATTCAGGTTCAATTACTCACTTGTCTCTTCTGTGTAGGTTTTGTCAGTACCAGGCTTTCCTTCAGGTGGTGAAGGAGCTGAATGACTTTGCAGGACAACGGGAGGTCATAGCAGAGAACCTTCTAACCCGGATCTGTGTGGAGCTTTCCAAGGACTCGCAGGAGCTGAAGCAGGAGAGGAAATTGGTAAAATGGTTGGGAAGTGAACTGTGGCAGCAAGACATCCAGAGTGGTAGTTCAACTAGTAAGGGAGGGGACAAACATCAGGTTTTGATACCTTTTGCCCTTGGTTTGGGGGTTGCATATTTTGATCTCCTCAGCATCTTTATTGTTGATGATTCACTGAGAATATGGTGCCTGTAAAAACTGACTTTCACTTTGTTTGGAGGTCTTGCATCTGTGGAGGCCTTCTGTGCTGCTTCCCTGTCGTTGATGGCTATTGCTCCTTTTGACTACTGGAGTTTGTTTTTCTACATATTTACTATGCTTGCATATTGCATTAAACATTGATTTGCCAGAGTCACTTTTTCAGAAAAGTAAAGATGCCATTTGACCAATTTCTGGTTGGTTTTTCCTCTCTTTTTTACTGTTCTTGTCTTGCACCACTATTAAGAAGCTTTGGTAGGGTGCAAAAAAACATGGCTTCAAAGTCTGATTTATTGCCCTAAAATGAACCATGATTTTTTCACCAATCTTCATTATGTATCACATCCTTTATGGTCCCCTCCTCAAAACAGTGAAGTTCCAGGAAAATTTTAGAACAGTTTTTATTTTGGCCTGCAGCCACTGGTTGGAAAAGTGCTTTCTAATGTATGGAAGTTTCAAAAATTGCTTGCCTGGTGGCATGGAGGGGGCCAGCTGTTTGAAGGGAAACTGCACCTATTTATTTTAAAGGCACAGGAGTTCCAACTACAGATTTCCAAATGGCATGAGTCAGTGTTTCTCATCCTTGGGAACTTTAAAATGTGTGGATTTCAACTCCCAGAATTCTGGGAGTTGAAGTCCACACATCTTAAAGTTCCCAAGGTTGAAAAATACTGGCATAAGTTGTCATGTGATTTTGCTCTCAGAATGATTTTTGCAGTGCACCACTGTAAAAATCTATTTTTTCCTCTGGTGTGTTTAGATTAGTTGATGCTTCTGTTCTGGAATTATAGCAACACACTCATTATTACTGTAAAATAAGGAGGAATGATTCTAGGGACTTTCCAGAAAATGATGGGGGTTCTTTTCTGAACTGATAGGACTTCTGGTTCCTTGTCATAAATGGAAGTGATCTTGTTTGCCAAACTCCCTTGGTAAAATTGCCTTTAGATCACTGAGAGTTTGGGTGGCTAGGAAAATGTTTTAAAAGCAACGTTCACCATTTACTGTTCATTTATTTCGTTAATGCAGTATTTAAATATTGATTTTTAACATTAATTTAAAGAGTAGCTTATATGTATCTGCATCTCAGTGTTATTAGATCTTAGATCTGGAAGAATGCATGAATTATAGATATTCTTACTATAGTATCAGAGCAGGTTCCCCCCAGTCACATCAGGTGTTTCAAGCTCAGGCATTCCTTAAATATTTCCCTTCCCCCCATTTTTCTCTTTGGGGATTGTAGCTATAGATAGTCTTGGGGATATAATATTTACATGAAAAATAGATTTTGTTATAGCCAAAGCCAGCTTTGATCTAAAGAAGCCACAAAGCCATTGGATGCTGCAATGCTCTTTGAAGTTGATTTCTGGGGTTGCTGAAGATTTTACTCTTTGGAAGTAATATTGTCATCAAATGATCTGGGAGGAGACAGTCTGTTGGAGTTCAGGAACTTTTTATAATGATTTTTTTTCTTAAATTCCTCTTCTCTCTCTAGTATCTACAAGAAGGCCGAAGGGCTCAGCAGCAGCTAGAAAATTCCTTCAAGCAACTTGAAAATGTGAGTTCTGATTCTCCATTAATATTTTAGATTAACATTCAAGTGGTGTGCCAATTGTAAGGATTTTCTGTTTGCGTGTTTGAAAACTGAAAACTTGTTTGCTTGATTCATATTTCAAGCAGGAACGCAGCTGTGGAGGACACTGTTCCCCTCAGAGTTCACCAGACATTTTGTAGATGGAAACATTGTGTGGAAACTAAATGGAGCTTTTTTATTCAAGCAATGATTCCTCTATCCAATCTTTAAAAACTCCTTTGAGAATTCATGGATACAAGGAAATAGTGGCAACATCCAGATTGCATGTCAGGGGAGAGGAGGAACTTTGGGTTGTTGGTCCTAGAAAACATTGCTTTGGAAATTTCCAAGACCTTCTGATCTCGCCTTCCTCAACTTGATGCCCTCCAGATGTGCTGCATCTCTCATCCTGCAATCCCAGACCAGCATAGCCTGTAAGGCAATTGTGGCCCATCCCAGTTTCAGCACAAGGTTAGGGGAAGCTGCTATGGGCTATTGTGTATTGATTAAAATAATAATCATGGGGTTGGTTCTATAGGGAGAAAAGTCCCATTAAAAGCAGGGGTAAAACTTTCCGGAGACAAAAGCAAAGCCATTCTCTAGCATTGTTTTCGCTGATAATTTCTCACTAATGTAAACAGAAAACCCTAGCAATTGTTGTCAGCCCTTAATGTTTTCAGGGTGTGCATTTCTGGGTGACAAAAAATAAATGATGCTCTTACTCAAAAGCACCAGATTTCCATAAAATAAAAATCTGTGCTGCTGTACGGCCA